ACTAACCCCTAACTACTAAATTACCCCTAATAATGCCTTAAATTATCCCTGCTACTCTAGTAGCAGGGGACCTTTTAGGCACCCTTAACAATACCTAAATGTCACCTTACTAAACGCACGCCTAAGATTAATAACTGTACAGATAGCTAGGAACAAATAGTAAGTTTTAATTAGTAACAGGCTAGACATCTACAGATCACTATTAGAGCAGGCGCGCACGCATGGCGTTTAGTTTAGAGGACACTGCTGGCAGTGCAAAGGAATACTTAGCAAGGACACCTAGCTAAATTAGACTAGTTTTAGTTTCAGGATGCAGAGGACATAACAGTAATACTTTAAACTATAACTACTAATAAGGACTATTAGTCTACAGAGGGGGGGGTAGTGTAACAATCCTTATAAATTGTTCTATCTTAAGTTGCCTAGAACCTCTAGAAGGCCCTTGTATTAGCCCTAACCTCAACCTAGCCCTAACCCCTGCTGTTACCCCTATTCCCTCATGTATTTAGTTGCACCTCGCCCCTGTAGCTAGCTTAGTAGTTTTCTGATATCCTTTTATACAAGGCCTATAGGTGTCAATGGCATTCCTAGGTTCAGAGTCCCCACGCACTCCCATATGCCTCTGAGTGGATTCCCACCGCATTCGGACCCATTGTCTTGCCTGCGCCGTTACAGTGCGTAAGGAATTAGCTATATTAGCTATAGCTATAAGCCTAAAAGAAAATCTATGTGTAATAAGCTTAAGTATATACTTAATAACTACTTTTTTTTTAAGCTTAGTTAGATTTCTTAATTTAGGCTAGCATTCTACTTCTAAAGGCTGTCTAGCGCGTTAATTGCTTAGTGTTGTGTAAAAAACATTATAAATAACGTACCTAACAGGTTGGCCGGCCACACGGGTTGGCCGGCCACTTTTGCCAAGCCCCCACTAAACTCTACCTATCTACATAATGCCTTAACAACAACACTAGATTAAATCTTCTAAAGAACGTCAAATATAGCTTGCTCTTTAGGCCCTTAAATAAGACTTAAAACTCTCCTTGTAACGCGCTGCAGCTATCTATAATGTCTCTTACACAACACTAAGCAATTAACGCGCTAGACAGCCTTTACACGCAGAATGCTAGCCTAAATTAAGGAATCTAACTAAGCTTAAGAAGGAAGTAGTTGTTAAGTACATACTTAAGCTTATTACGCGCAGATTTCCCTCTAGGCTTACAGCTGTAGCTAATATAGCTAATTCCTTGCCTACAGAGCGTAATCTAGGCTAGGTTAGCTTAAACTAGACTAGTATGTAGGTTAAGCACTGCCCTAAGTTTATAATAAAGTTTAATTATAAGTATAATTATAAAAGAGCGCTTTATAAGGATCTAGAGGTTATCTAAGGCTAGTTTTGCCTAGTAGCTAACATAAAAGCTAAGTACAGTATCTAGGATAAAAACAGGTATAACTTTAACAAGTTAAGCTTTATAATAGGCTAGATATTAACTAAAGCAGTTGTTACAGCTTTAAAGAGATAAGGACAGCTAAAGGCAATATAGTAAGGTAATAAAAAGTAGATAATAGTTATCTAGGGCATTAACATAACAGAGTAGGCTATAAGATTACAGAGCTTTAAGTAGTAAATAAGGCTGCCACATAACATAGATTGCATAAAAGGAAGTAGATTTAGGCAGAAAAGACTTTACTAGTTAAGAATAAAGCTTGTCTAACTGCTTTAAAGGAGTTTAGAGCGCGTAGTGATAGGAAGAAGCTAAAGACGCAGGTGCGCGCTAAAGAAAGTAAGCTAAGTTAAAAGTAATACAGGTAGTGCAATTAGACTAGGCATAACTTGCGTACGTGTAAGCAAGTAGCAGAAGTAGACTTTAAATAATATCTTGTGTTGTATTACTTTATATAGGGCTAAAGTGGGCTGTTTTGCGAGAGAATGGGGTGGTTTTAGTGGGGGCTTGGCAAAAGTGGCCGGCCAACCCGTTAGGTACGTTAGCTATAGCGCATTATAAGAAGAGTTTTAAGTCTTATTTAAAAGCCTAAAGAGCAAGCTATATCTAACATTCTTTAGAAGATTTAATCTAGTGTTGTTGTTAAGGCATTATGTAGATAGGTAGAGTGTAGTAGGGGCTTAGCAAAAGTGGCTGGCCAACCTGTGTAGCCGGCCAACCTGTTAGGTACGTTATTAAAATTTTAGTAAAAGATAATTAAACATCTAAGCATTACTTACTAACTATTAACAGCATATTATCTAGAAACAGATTAACAAACAGAGAGAATAAACTAGACGCTAGAGTAGTACTTAAGAAAGTATGTAAATTATAGATAAACAGCTTAGGCGCAATAGCTTCTAATAGCCTAGCTAGCCTACAACACTTTAGAATCTAGCACTACACAAATGTAAGAGGTATCGAACAGGAAACAGAGGTCACAGACAGGGAATGTAGGATAGGGGGGTAACGAGAGTAAACCTTAGAGTCGGAGGCAGAGGTACGGAGGCCGAGGAGCCTATATACCCCGTGCCAAGCCTAGGGTACTCAGGGGTTGGATAGCTGTAACATAACTGTAACAAAAAATATATTAGTTATTGTACTACTTTTTCACTTTCTTCTCTTTATCTTACTTTTATTTTATAAGGATTATACAGAGGACTATACACCTTTCTTATACCTTTGTAAGTTAGAATATTACGTGACGTACTCTTTTTCTAAACACCTCTCTTCTAAGACTAAGTTTGTAACGACCGGCTATCCAGGTGTTTCCTAGGCTGACATAGACTGGTCTAGACCGCACTAGGCAGTCCCAGACAACTCCCGAACCGTGCCGTCAACCCCGCACTTCCCAGACAACACCTACCTCGCCTAAAAAGCCAGGCATCCTAGACAGGTAATACTTTAAACTAGACTTATAGCATACTAAATTTGTTGTTACCAGCGCTGCTGTGCCTAGCTCTTTAAAAAAGTATATAGCTAGTTATAAAAGCTCCTTTTAGATAGTAAAGAATTGCTTTAGAAATTAAGCAAGCACTAATTATACTTTTATGTTATAGTTACGCTCTTATTAGTTAATACACCTTTTAATTATAAAGTGTATACTTTGTTTTTTATAATATAATCTTTTACTTAATAATACCTAGCATAACTGTTGCTACCTAAGCTAGCGTTATGTAAGACTTATAAACTCTCTTTATAAACAGACTAACAAGTCTAGTGGCATCCGCTGCTTTATAGTTTGCTCAATGTTACCTGCCGTCCATACAAAACCAAAGAAGGGAGTAATTTTGACTTCCAAAGCGCCAGATGCCCTGACTGGCACAACTCAGGGCTCGAATACAGAACTTCTCCCCGCAAGGTTCTTAGAATGACAGGTTTGTTTCAATTCCTCTAGAGGGGAGATTAATGTGACCTGGGTAAATGGAGTAGTTTCGTAAGGGGGGAGGACGGGAGGCGCTATGGTGCGGTAGTAGACGCGAAGTTGTAGGAAAGCGCTTGTGTCAGAATGAAGGGCTTTACCAGTCTCATAGAAAACTTACTAGAGGACATAGTCTGAATTTATCGTGAATGGAAGATCGTACTCAGAGCGAGGAAATCAATTCATATCGTGAAATTGACATGATCAGTTAAAGGAAAGGACTCTGAGAGGCCCGGTGTCTCCGTGTTCTCGGCACCAAATTCCGATTTTGTTTCCCGTGTTTGTTGAATGTCATCAATTTGATAGAGAGGTGAATTGGGAAAGATAGGGTGTCAAAACGGGTTCCAAATAAAATAATGCCAAAGAATTTGGGAGACTAATTGCTTGCAGCTCACCTGATCCACCGATGTTTCTACTCCTCCTTGTTAGTTTTCTTAACAATAGAAGCTATGATATAAATATGCAGTACAGTGAGCGGAGCGTGACTGTCACTCTGAGAGTCTAGCAGACCACTGTATACAATGTCCGAAATCAAAGCGAGAAACTAATTACTAAACCTCCCTCTCGAACTCTTCGAAATCACTTTCTAGATTCTTAGCTTCCTAGCCCTCTGCGCTCAAGCTAGTCCCATTGACAAGAAAAAAAAACCCTCCTCACCTGTACTTGAACATTTCCTCTTCCTCTCTATAAGCATAAGTTAGAAGCTCCGCTTCAGCATATGAAACGACAGAAAAGCGATGCGCATCCTGATCATCGTGCTCGACGCCATGGACACCAGACGACTTGAAATAAATCCCTTAAACGCTGGTCACTTTGATAAGATCTGGGAGAACGCGGGAAACCAAAGCTATAACCACCCCTATTCGACCTACGAACTCTCGCGTAAGGACTTGCAAATAGAGAGTTTCTCATCGCGAAGTCATTTGTTTTTCAGCCTACTGTCTAGCGGGTCAGCTTTTATTCTCAACGCCTGATTGTGTAAGCCAGAGGGCTCTACGATGAGCAACCCAACCAACATTGGGCGTGGTGTCTCATAATACTATATAAATCATAAAGCTCCTCGGACCCTCAGTCCACAATACATCACCTCTTTCATAACCCATGCCCACTACAAGGCTACAGATTAGTATTGTGATATCGTAGACGATACATAAAGGGGGTCTACGGGGTGAAGAAGGTGTAAAGATGAAGGAATTTGCTAGACACTGCAAGTTCCTGGGCCGGTGAGATCGTGGGGGTTCATGCATATTATTGTGTTGGGTAGGACCATAGATTTGTGAGTGAAGACCACGAATGTGCGGTAGATAGGGAAGATTCTGAGGATGAGAGTGATGATGAAGAGAGTAGTGGAATCGAAGATAGCGAAGGAAATAATACAGGTGGTAGTTCGGAGGATGAATAATGGAATACCAAAAGGGGAAAGCAGCTTGGATGACGTAATTTACCTATCCTTCACCGCCCGGCAATATAATTATGTCATGGCGTTTGTCTCGGCGGGCTACTTTCCGACATCACGTCCCCAGACTTGCTGTCTCCCTCCTAACAACTTGATCTAGTTTAAAAGACACTCAAAGATGCAATCCGAAGATCCCGAGAATAGATTCGCAATCCACGAAGCCAGTCGCGAGGGTCAAAGTACGTCTCTCGTCCCTCCACTCCTTCTCACAAGCTCCATACCACTCTTTAAGCTTCCCGTCACCCCACAGAAGCTCTAATCCCTTACACAAGCCCCCTCTCCGCCCCCAATCCAACATCCAGGAAGCTCCCAGCTGACCTCGCCCCCACCACCTAGCTTCAAAAGTTGAATCCCTCCTCAACGCTATCCCCAAACTCTCCAACCTCCGCGACGAAGACGAGCGCCTCCCTATCCACTGGGCCGTATCCTACAACCACCTCCCAATTGTACAAATCCTGGTGCAAGCCAAGAACTTCGACGTCGACGTGCAAGATGGCTCAGGGTGGACACCACTGATGATGGCTTGTTCGCGGAAAGAGGCGGAGGAGATTGTGGACTTGCTGCTGAGGAAGGATGCCGATGTGAATATGAAAAGTGCGTTTTATATGATATCTACGGGGGGGGCATGGATTTGTGGATTGGAAGCGGACTGACGGGAGAGATAGATAATAACGGCCAAACAGCGCTGCACTTCGCGGCATCGAAAACTAATCTCGACATCGCACGCACGTTGATAGCTCACAAAGCCTCCGCCCGAATAAAAGATAAACGGGGACAGCTCCCTCTTCACCGCGCCGCAGCTGTGGGCTCTGTACCTATGCTGAGAGTTCTCCTCGAAGCCAAGTCCCCTCTGAATGCGACGGACATAGATGGTATGACTGCACTACATCATGCGATATCAGAAGGACATGGCGATGCAGCGTTGCTACTCCTGACAGCTGGCGCGGCGTTTGACAAACAAGATTCTGAAGGGAGACTACCGCTGGATCTAGTGCCTGATGCAAAGGCGAGTGAATTATGCTTACCTAGGTACGATGCTAGATGCTGACGATATGCAGACTAGGAAGTACATCATACAAGCAGCAGAGAGAGAGGGCATAGATTTGGAATAGACTTCTGTCATCCTCCAAGATGTCCACAACCCCGAAGGTAGAAAAAGAAGCTGAAGCAAACTACGACTACAATAATTGTTGATGTTTCCACGCCTATCAAACTTGAAGAAATCGGTCGGTGCCAGACCATGAAGAATCAGAAAACTGCAAACCAGGCACCAGGCACCAGACACCAGACACAGCCAAGCACCCAAGCTCTAATGCCGCCAAACAAGTGCCATACCGTGCCATACCATGCCATGCACTCAGGAGGAACCCTAGACCAATTCATAGTCTCGACTCGACCAAATCCCTATAAATCTTCTTCAAATCTTGCACATCCCCCATCAACTCATCAACCCTCTCACTCTTCTCCCCAAGCATTTCAAGTGTGGTCTGATATCGCTCATCCATACTCCTCAACTCCTTTTCCATCTTCTCCATCTTCTCATCTTGGACCCGCTTCTCCTCGACCTCCCGCATCAGGGCAACGACCTCCTCACGTGCTTCATCCCGCTGTGCCATCAACCGCGCCATCTCCTCTTTGGACGTTGCTTTTTCAGACTCTAGACGACGGACAGCAGCGCTCATACGCTCTACGAGTTGGACGGAGGGACCAGCACCGACGGTAGATACGCTGATCATGTCGTTGATGGTACGGTGAGGTGAGGACGTGTTTTCGAAGGGTTCGTCGTGGTCAAAAGTATGGATAGACGGTGTCTGAGACAAACTAGCACCATTCATATTAGACAACGAAGACGGAATAGAGTCCTGACGCGCCGGCGTCCCCATCTCAGGCGTCCGTGGCTGATGTGAAGATTTTCGGCTACTCGTCGGTCGCCGATCATCGAAGATGCGGTCCATAGGACTTAGCGGCATATCTGTTGTGGAAATCGACCGCGGCATTGGTCGTCGGCCATGCAGACCGAGGAGGTCGGGGGAGTGTTTTCGGTTCATGGCAGATGGCGAATCCGTGCGCAGGAAGTTAGATTCTGCAGACAGAGAATGTGATTGCATTTCCAACCGCCATTTTGCTTTTTCTTCTTCGATTCGGTGCTGTAGATCGGCTTCCCAGACTTTCTTCTCGCGCTCTAGATCGGCGCGCGCGTCTTGCGTCGCGGTTTCTGCATGCGCCAGACGGGCTTGAAGTTTTTGTGTCTGGGTACGTTGTTCAGAGAGGTCCTGTTCGAGGGTGCGAGCGTGGTCGCTGATGCTTTCTAGCTCGTCTTCTAGGCGCCGTGCTTTTGAATTCACGTCTCTAGCTTTCCGCCGTATATCAGATTCACGCTTTGCTGTCTCGTCACGTTCTTTTTCAAGCGCGGCGACGCGGGACGTTAGGGTGCTTTCGATGCCGTGCCAGTTCTCTGATGCGAGTGCGTATTGAGTTTGCAGAGTCTCAACTTGTCGAAGGAGTTTGGCTTGTGAGTCGCCTGTTGCCGAGGATGAGACTTCTTCAGAACGGGACCTGAGGAGCTCCAGTTTGGTCTCAAGATTCTGAAAATATCGTTAATATCTAATTCCACTGAGGGAGTAAAGAGAAGCAAGCTTACAGCAATCTCGCCGCGCAATTCTAGCTCCACGACCTTAGCTCTCTCCTGCTGTCTTGTTGCCTCCTCTTGAACTTCCTGCAACTCTCTCTTCCCCCGATCCTCGGCAAGTTTCTTTTCGATGCGCAGATTGTCGATATCCTCCTTCAACGACGCTGTGACTCTCCTCTCCGCCTCCAACGCCCCCTTTTGCACCCGCTTCTCCGCATCCTCCGCCTTCTGCAGAGCATCATTTAGCTGCCTCCTCAGCTCGCCAATCGTCAGCCCAGCCTCCTCTCTCTCCGCTCTAATAATCTCAATATCCTTTTCAATCCTGCCCACGATCTTGAGTTTCTCCTGCGCCGCCTTTTCCGCAGCTTCAGCGCGTCTAGCCCTCTCCACAGCGTCCCCAATGCTTTTTTCAGCTTTGGTCAAGCGTTGTTTGAGGACGGAGACTTCTTTATCAGTTTCCTGGGCTTTGGTGCGCATTTTCTTGATCGTGGTGAGGTGCTTGAGTTCGGTTTTGGAGAGGGCTTGACCTTCTTCCATTAGTGCTGCTATCTGCGCATCTTTCTCTGCTAGCTTCTTGTCCGTGGGTGTGGTTTCGGGGGATGAGGCTGCCGCTTTGGCGGAGGAGGCGAGTTGTTGCGAGAGGTAGGTGAGCTTGGATTGTAAGGCGTCGATGCGCTCGAGATGTGAGTTGTGCTCTTCGCGGTGGTCGCGCAGCATCTCTTCGTGCGTCTTTCGGAGCGAGATGAACTCGGCTTCGACGGCTGCGGGAGACCGCGAGGTGGGAGGGTCAAGGTCGGCGGGTGTGGAGATGTCAAAGGAGGGGCGGGAACGGATGCTGTCGAGGGACTGGCGGGGGGAGGTATTCTGGGGGGTTCGGATTGAAGGGATGGACATGGAGGGCATGGCCATTGAAGTAGGCTGTTCTGATATCACTGATGTGGCCCGTGGAGACATGGGTATAGAATCGGTGGATGCCCGTGTTGCTGATTCGACTTGAGTCTCATCTGCCTTTGCTGTGTCATCTCTAGGTGGGAGCTCTAGGGCGGCTTCTGATACCCTCGAATCTATGCTTGTTCTACTCGTGTCGAAGACAGCCGCCGGGCTCCGCAATGCTGGGCTTTCGGGCCGCGAGGGCATATCGGACGAAGCTCCACTGCTTGATCTGGGCCTTTCCCCGCCCTTGTTTACAGCCTTCGCCAGGCGGTCTTGTAACCTAGAGTTGGGTCTGCTTCGAGAGGAGTTCCGTGATAGACCTGGACGGTTCGTCAATCTCATTGGCTCTCCCAAACTGCCTACTCTGGCCGTGTATATAGTGCTAAGAGAGTATGGTTCACTCACCTTGTTCAACCTGCAACCTCTGCTTCTCGGCCGCAGCCTCCTCGGCAGCCTTCTGCTTCGCAGCAGCGTCAGCCGCTCTCGACCTCGCGCTGGCCTGGTCATCTTCTGCCAGTATAGTATCGAGTCGCGACTCAATGCCTGCGACAGCGCCAGATAGCAGCGAGCCCCATCCGGACTTCCGTGCCCCGCTCATGTTGCACCCTCCGCAGCCTCCTCTGTGGTGATGACTTGGTTATCGAATCGGTATTCGGGGCTCTACAAGCGATCACCGTTCTGCGCGCTTCCGTCGCGGAGCATTCATGACTCTCGTGCGCAAAAGGCCAAGTGGAAACAACGGAACGTCGACGTGGTACGGGGTACTCGACGGACAAGGGTCCAAGGATGGAGAAAGGTGGGGAGATGTCTTCTTGTGTGTTTGTTTGGCGCGAGCGTGCGTAATGCGTGGCTGGTGGCGTGTACCTGCCCCCAATAGCTGTAGTGGGAATTGAAGGAATGCGGTCGTGTTGGAATGGTTTAGCAAGGGAGGGTTGTGGTACACCAGCAGCGACGTTGGAGGTTTTGACGCTCCATGTGCCAGGTTGAAACAATTGCTGAGTCCGAGCGTTTCCGCCTTGTCGTACGTATTTCGTATCTGACTCCCGCCGACCGCTTGCTTGAGGTAATGGCGGGGGTGTCGGACCGTCAGAGCAGTCCCTGGAGTGACCAGCTTATCTTAGGTCATCTACAAGGATTTAATTGTTCGCTATGGAGGATGTGAGGTACACAATGCTTGTTGTTTAGTTGGTTCAACGTCCACTCACCAGTCTTACTAGAATAGGTTAGCCTAACGGCACATCAACTCTTCGGGCAGGCATGGTGCACCCCGGCTTATCCACCAACATTAACTTTGACGTCTTATCAGATTTCCCATTCGACTTTATGAGACTTGCTAAGATGCCTCTCGCTGTAAGATATTCCCTTCCCGCTCAATTTGTAACCTTGCTTTGTGTTTGTCTCATTTGATAAGTTCTCTCCCAAGTTTGCAATATGTCCCTTCCTTAGATTTCAATTTGCAGAAAGAGATATAGCGAACAGGTAGTCTTGACGCTACTCCGGCAAAGTTAAGCCTTGGGCTGTGTGTAGGGCAAAAAATTGTCTCCCTAGAATTGGCTTCTTCCCATCGTTTTAATTGTTCATCCTCGCTCTCACTCTCTTCCTATTTAACCTTCTGCGCTACCCTCACTTCCAAATCAAACCCACTGCCCCCAACCCAAATGCTAAACTAACCCCCCCCAGGCAATTGGCCAAATATGCAGCACACCTTCTATGACCAACAACCTCTCCCAATGCCTCCAGCTCATCCAAAAAGCCTCCTCCGCTGGTGCCTCCGTCCTCTTCCTCCCCGAAGCCTCCGACTACATAGCCCCTAACGCCGCCTCTACCATCTCCCTATGCCAACCCGTTGAAACCTCTGAATTCGTCCTGGGTCTGCGAAAAGAAGCCCGAAGTCACGCCCTCCCAATCAACGTCGGGGTCCACGAGCCCGCAGAATGCGGTAAGAAAGTGAAAAATACATTGCTCTGGATCAACGAAGAGGGGGAAATCACGCAACGGTATCAAAAACTCCATCTGTTTGATGTGGAGATTAAAGATGGTCCGATACTCAAAGAGTCGAATTCTGTGGAAAAGGGCATAAGGATTGAAAATCCGTTCGAGACGGGGCTGGGGAAAGTCGGACTGTTGATTTGCTTCGATTTGCGGTTTCCAGAACCCTCACTTGCGCTGCGACACCGCGGTGCACAGATTCTAACTTACCCTTCTGCGTTTACGGTTCCGACGGGGAAAGCACATTGGGAGACGCTGCTGAGAGCGAGGGCGATTGAAACACAGAGTTATGTTATTGCGGCTGCACAGTGTGGGCCGCATAATGAGGAGAAGACGCGCAGGAGTTATGGGCATGGGATGATTGTTGATCCGTGGGGGAAGGTGGTTGCGGAGTTGGGCGGTGAGGAAGATGAAAAAGGGAGGGGATTGGATGTGGGGAAGATTGCGGTTGCAGAGGTTGATTTAGGGTTAGTGGAGAAGGTGAGAAGGGAGGTTCCGCTTTTGAGGAGGACGGATGTTTATCCCGGGATTTTATAAAAGGAAGTTAGGGGAAGAGGCGGGTAAGGGAAGTAGGTGAGCAAAGTGAAGCACGATTCCGGTATTTGTTCGAATCTAAATGACCTTAAGTAAAGATCAGGGACATGCAACATCAACAAAACTTTCGGGAAATGACAAAGACTATCTCCAAGCTCTTCTATAACGCCATCAACTATCTAACACGGTACCCAAAATCTGGACGCCACTCACGCCAATCCCGAACGAGAATATCACAAGGCAGACTCACTCTCCTGGTTTTCAATATTCCAGATCCATACCCCCCACCAACCTCGCCTTACCCTCTAAATCTAACCAACTGAGGTCATGCTCTTCATCCACAACCTCCCATTCAATATTCCCAACAACCGTTTCGAGCTTCCAATCCTTCAACTCTGCCAATCTCTCCAACAACGATGTAAACAGCGAACTCAATCTCTTCTCCCTCATCGGGCCTTGCGTAACCGGCGGCATGAAGGATCTCCTTGGTGTATCCTTGCCAGCGATATCCCAGTCGCGGATCGCATGCTCATGGTACAAATTCATGAGCATTGGCTCCGCGGTTTCAACCCGAAGAAGCATGTCGCGATGAAGTTGGGACCGAGCTCCAACGCCCCTTCAGCAAAGCAGAATTCGACTTCGTTGCGGAGGGAGAGTTGGTTGGCGTCTAGGAAGTGGCCATATGTGCGTTGGTTGATGATGCCATCACCGTGGTAGCGAGCAGTGCGGGTGGAGTAGTGAACCGCGAGGAACATCGCCATCAACGGGTCTTCCGGGAGGGATTCAATGAATGCGAGTTTGGAGACGTAGGATTGAATGGAGTTGAGCCGGTACAGGATAAGAATGCCCGTGTTCACAAGCGCCATGTTATGCTTTTCTACAGGGTAGCAGTTCTGCTTCGAGGTGAGGGTCGCCATGATGTCGTCTGCTGTATCATAGTGATGGATGCATCTGTCCAGCCACGCATACCCTTTCCTGGTTCCGTTGGGAGAGTCTGGGACGTCGGTGTACACGTATGGCAGAGAGTTCCTCGCGAATCTTTTTGTTGTTGAGATTTCGTAGTTTTCCAGGATATCCCGGAACCTTGGATGCACCAAGGACAGGTTATGAACCGTGGCAGTTGACTCGAATGGATTGTACTGGAGGATTTCGAGGAGAAGCTCCGCTGGAAAGGATGATGCTGTAAGCACAGACATAATGAGATGTTCCGTTGGGACGTGGTGTTGATGCGATATGGTTTTGGTTTAATGTGGTGTTGATTCAATGTGATGTTGATTTGGTGCGATGTTGATGAGATGCTGCAGAAGCAAGCAGGGCAGGGGTTATAATCTCTGGGTAGGTATTGACGCGCCCTTTTGTGATCAATTCCGCATTGCTTTCAAGACGTTGAGAGATGGGTCCGAAGTTGTAGTTGTGGAACGTTAATAAAATATGTGAATCGTGGGTGGGGAAAACTGTTAGAGGCTTGACAATGGAATGTGCAGTATGTTATCACATATCGTGGAACATAATGGGAGAGAAGTGAATCTATTTAACCCCTTTCTGGGATTCAACTCCCCATTCAATAATTTCCGGTTACGTTAGTGTTGAAAGCGTAGGTACCATATTGGTGAACACCGTGTTGGACACATGATGATTAGCATATCCCATAACGGCACACACATCGCAGGGGTATTATGTTTCATGACCAGATTTAAATTGCAATTAGCATTACTGTGAAGATTGGAGCTGTCGTCGTTCACGCAGCAACCCCATATAGTGTCCGTAGACAAAATAGTCGTGATTGCGAGTCGTTGGAGTGTACTAAGTCTTGTGTTCAGCATTCAAAGTTAGATGTTTCAATGGTGAATTAGAAAGGAAACATGGAAGTGAAGTCAACAATACAATCAGTTCGAAGTGTGAATCGAGAGGCTGAAAAGTGGAGGCGATTACGTCTTGCCATGTAACAGGCTCTGACCCCACCACCTATCCATGGGTGTGTGAACTACAGGCCATCAACGACCTCGAATAATCATCAGCCATTGCAGTGCGCGGCGAGTATCCCTGATCTGTCCTCCATGCAGTTAGACTTGTTTCGCCTCGGCTAAGTCTGTGGTTCTCGAGCACCATTCAGGGTTGTGAGTGACTGCACAAGCAGTTCTAGCCTTTTACCTAGCCATTATGAGAACAACCGTTCATCCACGATAACTGTTATATATACTTCCTGCCCCAACATAGTTTCCTATTGGTATGTTGTTGATGACTAAGGGACTAAGGAAATCCACCATGGAACATTAGCCTGCCATTTGCCTAGAAATCCCTTGAAAGATTCTAGCATTCGCCGCAGAGAAAGCCCGGTAATCTCATCGCTTGAGACCACCACAAAAAGTGACAAGCTCGCAAGAAGTCTTGCGGCGGAGCAGCTTATTCCTCGCAATCTGATAGCAAGTATTGCCATCTCCCAGAAGGAGTCGATCCATTGACACAGCAGATGCTCAACTACGATGAGTACGTTGTGTCTCTCAAGTGACTAGACCTCGTTCCAATTATCACGGATTTTCGTACGTAACTAGAGGCCCCTAGCTTCTCAAGTCCTGACCTTGGCTCTGCTATGAATTCAGGAATTCATTCACTCGGCGCTATCGTCGGTTTTCGATTGCCGGACTGCAAATTGTTCGTTCGCTCAACAGTACATACAGTACGGTCGGCTACTGAAGTTCATATACGGATATCTCGCATACTCTGACGTTACCCAATCATTCTTCCAATGCAACAAACCTCGGCTCTACCCTCAATGTGTCTATATACTCAGGACTCAATTTAATACCCGGCTCTTATCAAGGGGAAAGGGAATGAGCCATAATAGACGGTTTAACAGGTGAATTCATTGTTGCTATTTCCAAACCGGAAATTCCAGTAATGAACCCAACAACATATGAGGTACCACAGGGGTGCGATGGTGTCAAGCCAAATAGCACCTGGAGTGATAAAGGTTATGGCGCGTCCGTTTGCCAGTTTACCTTTGCAAGAATCTATCAAGCGAGCATACAAGTAGGGCGCCTGTTCGAGTGCGAGATTGCTGGCGCTGTCCCCGAGCACGTAGGCACCAATATGTGGAAGTACGATGTCGCCAACGGGGAAAGTCGACTACCAGTGCTCGTCATTTCATGAACTTCAAGTGGTGGACAACAAGGTTTACAACACTTATAAAAGCATTTTCTTGGAAATCAACTCCAAAACGTGTTGGATACATTTCAACTTTACTCTGTAGTCATTCTACAACATCTACTCGTATCTCGATATGGTGAGCGCATTGACGGCTCATCACATCCAATGGTACGGAGCTATCGTCATGAACGGAGCTGTTTCTCTGCCTGATAGCGCTTATGTCGAGTATCCAGATGGTCACTCTACTGCATCAGAACACTCCCAGGCCCCTAGGCTCTCCTGACCATCTTCAACTACAACAACGTCGCATTCGAGTGCATGGGCAGTGCGTTTACGAATATGTTAGACTTAATGACCATCTGAGTGCGTCAGACTGGCGGAAAGTCCTACAGTAACTCCGTCTTCGGCACAATCCAGGATTACCATACGTGCCTCGGTGTCTGCTGGGCGAGGCTAGCCTTACTATAAGGCCTCGTCGCCATGACTCTAGTCAATTTTAGTGTCATAATTATTGTGACCAACGTATCTAACAGAGAGACTGGTGGAGGCAGACCGGTCTGGAAGTCTTCGCCACTTGCGTTGGCAGCCCTGGCCTTCAATATCAACCTCAGCGGAAAGGAGACCACGATGTCGAAGACGTTCTTGGTATGGAGAAGCTGGCCTAAAAGAAAGTTGGAAGACTTCGAATTTCTGATGGGGTCATCATAAAGCTGCCGAAAATGAAAGACAATAAGTGAGATCACAAATTAGGACGGGGTTACAGGTTTCTGGGCCAAATTAAAAAGTTCGTTGTTATAGTTTAGGCTGCAGCCCATCTTCAGTTCACATAAGCTTTCCAGAGACACAGCTACAGACACACCCGTCAACACATAAGAAAAATTATAAACAGTGGAATGGTGATGAGACAGATTGCGAGGCCCCTCATATACTTAACAATCTCCTGCCCGGTGTAGGAGGACGACAACGGAGTTATGTTGCGCCTAGCCTGGGAGCAGTCAAGCTGCAAGTCTGCTCTTCAACCTCTTCTCCATGCCTCAGATATCCATCCTAACCACTTTCCCTCCCTCTCTAAACCCTTTGATCCAGGGGCTCAGCAAACTACCTCCAGTAACCACCCACATCTTCTCCTTAAGGCCTACCCGGCCCTTCACCGCACTTGTCGCGCCAGCCACAATCGTATCATTTGCTCCGCCCGCAATGTCCGTCCAAGTCCACCTTCCACCATCAACCATGGCCACCTTGACCACGCGATTAGATCCAGTGACATAGAGCTGGGGCACACCGGGAGCTTTTTGTATCTCGAAGTTGGCGCCATGCGGAAATTCCGGATCTTGGATCATGAGCTCGGGTTTGCCATTCGGGGTCCAACTATCGTCGCAGACGGCAAGCCTGTATAGTGAGTGGGCGAAAGTGTTGGTGTAATACACATATCCGTTGAAATATCGAAGGCCGTTAATCCCAACAGGCACATCAGCTTTAGGGCTTGGTTGCATGCTCGGATGCGTAAACCAGGTTGCAGACTGTTTCGTATCTGGATCAAACTGCAGAATGGAGCCGGCCATCGCATCGGATATGAGCACCAACGGAAATTTGCGTGTAGAGTTTTTCGATTTAGGAAGAGGTACTATGCTAATGAGCCATTTAGCCTCCGGGAGGCCGACTAGCTTATTAACCACGACTCCCTTCGTCCCTTCGGTCCAGGCTTCTAAGTTTATAATATAGAGTGAATGGGTTCCTGGCGCAGGGTTTGTCTTTGGGAAGACTTGGAGATTCGAGGTAACCAAGAGATACTTGTCGTTGCCGAGGTAAGCAATTCCGCCACAGGCTTGCTCATCAAAGCTGTGCAAGATTTGATATGCAGCCTTATTGTCTGGATTCTTGGGATCCGCAATTGCATTTGGTGTGATGCTTTGGAGCTCAGCTGGAGTAGTAAAAGTGAGAAGGAGAGAATCCTTCGAGTGCCAGATGGCGTCTGATATGACGGTCGGGAAAGGATACGTGGTGAGGGTTTCCAACTGAACCACAGTGGTGTTGTTGAAGCGGGAGTTGGTGAAGGGAATAGAGATCAGAATAAAGACAACGAGGGAGTATGCGAAGGAAGAAAAAGTGTAATAATGCATTTTGAAGGTCCCCGGTATTGTATGAGTAGGAGAAAGAAAGCTTATTGGCAAATGTGATTGAAGGCAGAGGGTCGTCCCTGGGGAGAAGGAGGAAAGAAAACGCTACTGGATTTTGATTGCGGCACCACTTCAGGGATGGCCTTTCCTAGAACCAAAACCTCTTATCTCTAAAGGAAGGTGAGCCTAGGAATTCTTGTTTCTCGACCAGTGCATTTCGCGCGTCATCATGCAACACCGACCATCTAAAGGAATACCCTATCAACTTGATGCCAGATGGGAGAGGGAGCCGAAAGGACAGAAGAATGCATCCTTTATCATGCAATCCCGCGCAGCGGAGAGCGAATCAGTATGAAGTTCAGGCAAGTGTGTACTAATGTCAAGATGTTGCATAAATTGTCAAGTCCAAAGGCTGTGCCCCTTTAAGCCTTTCACTAAGGCAGAAGTGAGAGGGAGGTGGGCACCGCGCAACCAAACTCTCGCAAAATGTGTACTACAGCGAGCTTAGGCTTCCTTTCAGACGATGTATCCCAATCTCCTAAACGTAGATATCGACGCGCTCTGCAGACACGGACACCGAGCCAAGATCCAAAGACCTCCCTAGTTAGGAGAGGGGCTTAACCAGGCCCTATTAGAACGGTAAGGTATTAACATTCATCCTAGAATTTTAAGAAAAGCATTACACAAGATTTCACATTCCTTCGCTCAATTCCCAGCACGAAACGTCTAAATCCCCATCCAAACTCCAACCTAAATTCCCTTCCCTTCATCCTTCGCTCCCCTCATCCCCCCTCACAAAAACCACACAAATGCACACGCCAGGACCGTAATAAGCAATCCGCTAAGCGCATTTGAGTTCGATGAAGCCGCACTCGCAGCTGGTCTTGAATCGTCCAGCGCCTTGCCACCTGCCTTCACAATCACATAGATCTCGCCCGTGGAGTCGCTAGTCATATACAACCGGCCGTTTCTATCCCATCCGAGGCCTGCAGGTCTGAAGCAGCTACCAGGACAGCCGGAGGTGTTGCTGTTGGAGATGATAGGGGAGAGAGCTTTGGTGCTGGTTGAGGACTCGGTGGGTTGGCCGTCGGAGCCGAATTTGATGACGGAGACAGAGTAGCCGACGGGGTCATGACGGTTCCTACATAAGTACCGGTTAGTTACGAGGCTTTAAATAGGACGAGGTTTAGGGACGGGCATACCAGCTTCCATGCAGAGTCACGTAAAGGTTCTCGCCCTTGCCGTCAAATTTTAGGTCGAGCGGCGAAGTATGTGGCTGGAAGACCAACCGTGGAGCCTGACGGTCGTTCCTGCAGAAGCTGTCCTGGGTAGTAGCGTTGTTCTCAGCAATCGCAAACTGCTGTCCAATCTGCAGCGTTCCGGCAGATGGGATCTCGGTGATGTTCCATGCGCCATAGCAGAGCGGGTATCCGTAGTTCTTGCCTAGAAGTGGATTATTGGAGTCGTCAAGCTTTCCATGGTAGTTCAGTTCCTCAGCAGGATTATTCTCATGGATCTCGAAGCCATCACGCTCGATGTTATCGGCGTTGTTTTCTGCACTCCATACGCCGCCATCCTTGGGGTTCTCGGCGACTCCGACGGCGTTGCGCAGACCCCAGCCCAAAGTAGTGCCAGCAGTATAGTTCTGTGAGTCCTTGGTGGGATCGAATATACGGATCTGTGACATGCCATTGTTGATGTCAACCGTGCTGAGGTCGATATTATCATTACCGCCCCTGGAAACAACAAGCTTGTTCTTTGATTTGCGAGAGAGAAGGAGAGTCCTGGTGAGAAGATCGTTGGAGGTCATCCCAGTGATGATGGCTTTGCCTTGACCCTTTGTTGTCATGGAAGAGGAATCATAGTCGTACTTGAAGACAGTCTCAACACTTGAGACGTAGAGTGTCTTTCCGTCATCTGTAATCTCTATGCCGTGGTTGAGCTATCCAATGAGGTTAGTATTAGCATTGCTTTGGGCAATGATTAGACAAACTTACAGAACCATCACCGACGACAGTCTTCTTCTCGCTCAAAGTTATGCAAGAGCCAGTCCCTGATACAGCGAAAGCGGATACACCATTGCCCCTCTCCACAACGAGAAGGTTGCCTTTGTTATCGAATATGATACCTCGCGGCTTCGTCAAGCCTTGGGCAATCAGCCTCGCCTCATACCCACTTGCCACCGACGGAGCCGGATAGCTGGCAGTGAGAGAGGGGCAGCTCTGTGCCAAAGCACGAGGTTGGAGCGCCGCGATAGTGAATAGAAGCTCAGCAAGCATAGTTAAAGCTACAGCTCAATTGAAAGCAATATGAAAATGGCCTGAGTTCTGGAGAGCTATGCAACCTAAAGAAGAAGGAGCGGGGTATCCTACACCTCCCAGGCTTCACACTAATATATATCCCAGAGCACTGGGCAGTATTTCTATACTAGCTATTCTGGTAGTTCTTATACTCAATTCAGCTTGCAGACTCCCTACGCCAACAGGCCATGCTAAGACAGGACAAGAAAGGCCCAGCCAAGAGCAACCGCAGCGGCGAACTAAGTAACCTATAATATATCGAGAAACTAACGGAAAAGCAAACAGGATTGTTAGCTTAAGAAGGCATACTTTGCCGAGGCGGCTGGGGTTAAGTTCGAGAATCCCCAGAATCCCTCAGATGCATGGGAACAGAAAGGGAAGCGTTTAGCAATCGGAATGCTTCAACAAGCGTCTGGAATCGCCCTCAGGTCCCGTGCTAATTGTAGTTAGAAGCTTGAAAGGTCCTAACAGGATGCCTCTTCTTGACTGTCTAGCAGAGCTCACGTATCAATCCTCTCCTTCGCCCTCGTAGCTCAAAGCGAATTCAGCCACCAACAAGCGGTGGTACGATCAGCGCAAGTGTAGTGCTTCCAAAGGAATCATCAATCCTCTCTCGTGAGCCCGCAGCATACATAGTCCACTCTTGAGGTCTCGATTCGCGGGGCAAGTATCCACCGAGGGCGTCTCCTCCACCTCTTGGCTCGTCCCGTTCCGTATCAACGCTAGCTTGGCTTTTAACCGGCACTGGTGCGGGGTTAGTCAATGCCAAGAGTGAATGCAACACGTGCGGTGCCGAATTCTCGGGTTCTTCGAAGCGAGAGCTTATCCCTGCGAGAGCTGCCCAAGTGAACGGCAAGTGTTGATGCCGCATATGCCGCAGGATTTACGCGGACGTCTTATCAATAAATCAGGCCAAAATGGAATTGAGTCAGAGATTCCAAGGTTTGTTCGAATTCTTCGCAGCAGTCTTTCAGATTCTTGGCCTCCTTAAGCCATAACAGAGACCTTGAAGATGCTTGAGGAAACATATATTTGAGGCTTACGGTTTAAAACCATCTGTGGAGTGACAGGGGATCGAGAGCTAGCTGAGTGGGAGATTGCAGAGGGTGCCAACGAGTGTGTCTCGCGATGCTGCAGAGGAAGAGTTAGTGGGGTCGGAAGGAAAGACGGCACCCAGATCCGGAAAAGCAAGCATCTACATACACGTGATGGACTGAGGTTTTAGGCACGCGATCCTACCTAAGACTGTATGAGGAAAAATGCTTACTTGCTTGACCTTACTGATGCGAACGAGCTCCCGCCCGTATGGCCAGCCTTCAACCTATTTTTGTGACTTAACGTACTTCATGGGCGAGTTGCTCACACACCCGAGTTGCTTACTTTTGCTAAGACCCCACTAAACTACCCTTCCTACACTAATGCATTCCCTACAACACTACTTAAACGCGCTAAAAGAATGTTAGATACAGCTTACACTCTAAGCTTTTAAATAAAACATAAAACTCTTAAAGAAATGTGCTATAGCTATATGCAAAGTTCTATAAAAAATAATAAATAACTATAGCGCTAGATAACCTTTACAAGCTAATTCTACAGCTAAATTACAAAGGCTAGGTAATAAAAAAGAGCAGGTAATTATTAAGACTATACTTAAGCTATATGCGTGAGGAATTTCCTCTTAGATAGCATTTATAGCTAATATAGCTAATTCTTTGCGCGCTAAGCGTAATCTAGGCTATGTTTACATAAACTAGCCTAGTACGTTTGTGAAGCGTTATTTAGAGCTTAAAGTAACATTTAAGCATAAGTATAACTATAAGAGAGCCCTCTATAAGAGTCCTAGGGTAATTTAGGGCAGGTTTAGCCTTATA